GAAAAAACCCACCGTGTCTTCATTATATATTCTTCACCTACTGTCAAGGGCTGTGTGTGTTTTCAGGTGGGATAAGCAGTGAAGGAAACCCCCCAGGAAATTTTAGGCAACTGCAAGTCACCTCCCCCAAAAGCCAGGGATCAGAGAGAGAGAAAGAGGACTGCCTTCCCACTATCTCTCTAGACCTACACTGACAATAGTGTATTCATAAGTGGCTGTTGGGTACATTCTGAGTAGAAATGGGCTATAATATTAAAATACACACTGGATTTCAAAAAATGTCAATTGTATTGATAACATGTTGAAATGATAACAATTTGGATCTACTGGGTAAAATAAAATATAAAAATTAATCCTCCCTGTTTCTTTTCACTTTTGATAACGGAGAGTCGTTTAAAATGGAATCGGGAGGCCAGTGAGGAAGCAGGGCCTACCAAGCCTCCCGTCTCAAGTCTTAGAACTCTGGTTAAGTTGCTGACCTATTGCTAAACAATTCACGGCTGAACAGCAAACATCCTGGGTCAATGATTGTTGTGTGGACATATATGGCCTTTAGTTCCTCCTCATCATGTTGACCAAACCATTTGCATTCTCACCTTGAAAGAAACCAATCCATTTTGATAATCAGCATCTTCTATTTTCATAAGGGTCCTAACTAATCCCAGCTTACCCAGCCAACAACCTTCACTGAGATGGAGGACCTCATGAGAACTGCTTCTTGTGGTTTTGACCTTTATAAACCCTGTCTTTCTTTGTTCCATTTGCAGCAAAATTTAGGTGGCTATCTGAACCTATGCCCCAGATTGTAATCCCTCCTTTGTTCAAATAAATACTTTTTTTTTCAACCCTCAGTCAAGGATATTTTTTCCATTGACTTTTAGAGAGAGTGGAAGGAGGGAGAGAGAATGAGAGAGAAAAACATCCATGTGAGAGATCCACATAGATTGGTTGCCTCATGAGCATCCTGACTGGGCCGGAATGAACCTGCAACCCACAACACACACTTCTATTTGATTCCTAAGTTTTTAAAAAATTAAATATGTAAACTTGCATTGTTTTTCTGTAGGATATTGCTGCTCTAGGAACAGGGCACAAGATAGCACTTAAGATATTGAAATACTTCGATCCCAATGGAATGATAACCCTACCCTAGTACCCCAACCCCTCCTTGTGTCCCCATGGCCTTGACTGCTCTGTCCATCAGGCCTGAAGTGCCTGTCACCCAGTCAGCACCCTCATTCCCTGTGTCCATCCCACCACTCCCAGATAGGGCCTGGACTCACAGGACAGTTGTCAATCTTGGCATCAGTGCTGCCCCCCTGCAAATGTCCCATGTCCATCTGGCACCCACTTAGTCACCAGGCCATGGTTGTTGGTGAGAAATGAGACTTTGCAGTGACTACCAGTGGACAAATATTTTGCATCTCCCCACAACTATAAAACTTGCACTCATCTCTATCATGACATGTATCAATTTGTGCTCTAATTGTATGTCATTCTTTCTGAGTAGAATATGAGCTCATGGGTAGCATTACAACTTTTACCAGTCTTTTATTCCCTCCTCTCAGTACTGTGAGCTTATGAATGTGTACATGTTGCACATATGTCCTTTGTATATATATATATATATTGGCTTAAGGTAAGAAAAGCAAAAACTCCTAAGTGGTGTGAGGAGGCCACATAGGAGCCCTGCAGGTCGGCCTCCCACATCAGAAAGGAGGCTAACTTCTCCCAAGACAGTGGTTGGCAAACCGCGGCTCACGAGCCACATGCGGCTCTTTGGCCCCTTGAGTGTGGCTCTTCCACAAAATAACACGTGCAGGCGCGCAGAAGCCGTTTTTCGGCCTGGGCGAGTCTATTTTGAAGAAGTGGCATTAGAAGAAGTGGGGGGTGTCAGTTGGTTGGGCGACGGGAGACGTGGGGAAGGCGGGCCACGGGATTCATGCAGGAGATGAGTGAGCCAGTCAGTCAGCAGTCTCATGTGCAGTGGTTAGTGCTAGTCTCGTCATGCGGTTGACAAAAGTACCTACTTGAAGCATAAAGTTATCTGTATTTTTCCAACCAGCTGCAAATCCTACAGGTATTTTTGTCATCAATTTAAGAATTGTAATTATTTTGTGTTGGTGGCTTCATTATTATAAAATGAAACATTTCAG